CTACTGGTTTTGAACTTCTTGAGTATGTTTTTAAATTGAGCTATTTTCTAAATTCGTAAAGACTTACATCTTAATGCAGTGAATATTCTTTTGAAAGTTCAGCTGATTCATTCTGCCTTATATTGGATTTAGGACCTCAAGGGCAGTAGATGACCCTTTTTCCTCCCAACACAACTATACCTGATTTGGCAATTGAACACATCAATGAGATTAGACTGCGGGCAGCAGGGAAAGGTGACTTTAATCCACAGAAGGAGTGGAAGGCAACATTTTCATATGATATGCTTTGTTTCAGTCTTAACTTGATGTTCTGCAGAAAAGTACTGGCTGATAGAGCTGACGTGGGATGCCAGGCAGTGTGGTTGCCCCAAATGATGAGGCACAGTATGTGCTCATAACCAGCCTCCAGAGCAACCTGAAGGGGTTACAAAATCTAATTTATCTAAAGAGCCACAAGTACACACAAAAGTTCAGAAGTGAATGTAACATAGCAGATTATGTTTATTACTAATAAGATAAAAGCCAATAAATGATTTATTGGCTCTGTTGTATTCAGTTCCACTTTCAAGCTAGTGACTCTGCCATCAAAACTAGGTTTGGCTTGTCAACTCTGAAAAATTGCTCATAGGGTGAGTGCCTTTTCTCCTCTGAGGACTAGCAGTGATGATTAATGTTCCAAGTACTGTTGTCCAGAGTAGCCTTTTAAACTGTGAATAGCTTGCATTTTGTCAGACAACTTTTGATAACTATGTATTATTCCCTTCCAGTGAGACCATGCCTCCTTATTTTTTCATGTTTCATGCCACTGAAACAAACAACATGGGTTTGTAATGGAAAGCAGCTATGCCTGTCTTGAAAAAAAAAATCTTCTGCCATTTGATAATTTTTCCTTGCAGAGATTTTGGGCATGAAAACAATTTGCTGCTCAGTAACCAGACATAAAAATAAATTGCAGAATACAGCATGTGCAGTTTTTTTTTTGTATAATAGAACTGGTGCTAAGTCATGTCTATATAATATTTTTTTGTCTTGTTTTGTTGATTTGCTAAATACTATCCCAGGACTGGTTTTGTGTTTACTTTCTGTACAGCCTTGGATTTTTATATGTCTTGTGATAATGCATCCTAGGTTTAAGTTAATCTCTTTTTTTGTGTAGACCTTGAATGAGAAAAACAACTAATTTTGTCCTTGTCAATTGAATGGCTTGGTAAGAAAGAAATAGAACCAAAAATATTGTGATCACCTCTTATTAGTTAACATTGTTTTCTTTGTTGTGGTGTTATTTAAGAGGTGCAAAAGTATTTTTCTCATCTTTTTTCCATGTTCTATTAAGTAGCTAAGGGCCTGAACTTTAAACTTTGTCTTTATAAATAGGTGTTTTCATGTTTTTCCTAGTGTGTACTGTTGACAGTGCTATAAGAAACCTAGAAATCTTTCAATGTGTTTTTGTTCAGTTTATTTGAATTTCTCAGGTAGGAAGCCATGTAACCTGGTAATTTTGAAAGTAAGAACCAGATAAATGTATTTTTATTTGTTGCAAGACTTTAAAATGCTAACTTTTAAATAAAAGCTGATAATTCCACTTTGGAGGGCAGGGGGAGTTTCTACCTGTAGTCTGCTGCTTTGCACTAATGTTGTGATCCTTTTTCTTATTTGCACTGTTAGAGAAATAACATATCTAATTTTCTGATACATTAAAAATAAAATTGTCTTAGTAAATAGTCTGTTCATTTGCCACATGTATTGGCTAGAATGTTGTACATTTACAATAACGTTTTCTGTGAGAATGTATGTCTAGTTTTAAATAGTTTCTATGCCCCTTTTCCCTTCACAATGCTAGTGTGTGGGAACTGACTCTAGATCACAGTTTTCTTTTCGTTTTGGGAAAATTGAAATAATGATATTTGGACTTAAGACTATCCTTCCTTCAGCAAGGGTTTTATCAGTGCTATTAGAAGGTAGCAAAATGCACTATGTGGAATTTAATCTCATCCCTTCAGCACTTGGTAGAAGTGTTAAAATTACAGAATATCCAAAAAGAAGTGTGGCTGTGTGATGGGGAGTCTAGGCAGGGAAGTGAGGGCCGTCAGTAGTCAGTCTTGGACCTTTCAAGAGTTAACTGTGCTTTCACAGAAAATGTACAGCAAACTGCCTTTAAGTGTTATGTAACAAAGGCAGACTGTACCTTAGAGTATAATCTGGGCACTTTAGAGCTGAAAGGGTCCTTGTTGGGTTCCAAGAGCCCTTTTTGAAATACCATGGGCTGTATGGATGCTTGTTCTGGATCTAGGATTTGCCTGTTTGACCCTTTGAGGTAAGGTGAATGTGACATTTTGCAGAGCAGCCACAGATATGGAGAGACACTGAACTGGCAGCAAATATAGCTTGGAACCCAGAGATGCTGGTACTGAGGATGAGCTACCTTTGCAGGGGTTGTATGAAAACAGGTGGAAGCAAAAGGGTGTTCACCTGACACCTCCCCCACTGGCGGTGCTGGTTGTAACCACACTCCCTCATCTTCTAAAATGGCATCTTTTACGTAATATGTTTTATGAATATGCCAGTTGGATTTGAGAAGTTTTTAGATCAGAGTCCTTTAGGTCAAAGTCCTGCCTTATAGTAATATCCCTTTACATGTAATCAATACGATGTTGATTTAGTTGTGAATGAAGGGGAATCAGGCTATTTGGGATTGAAGCTTTAACCAGGCTCTGGATGTTTTTTCCTCTTGGCATCAGATACACCTGTTTAATTTAGTAAAAGGAGTAGCCTAATCTTCACATCTAAATGAGATTTCAGGCTGCAAAGGTGGCCAAACTTCTCCCACCCTTTTTCCAAAGCATATGGTGTAACAGGTTGCTTGGCACAAAAGAGGATCTCGAATATTGTTGGATGAAACCTAATGGGGGAAATGAGCACATTAAAAAAGAACAAAAACAGCCACAACAGCAGAAGCAAGGACAACATAAAGTCCTCCAAATGAAAGCCATTGAGTTTACACAGATTATCTGAATTCTTCTGCTGTCCTCCCTTGGCTTTTTCAGCAGCCTGACCCAGGTGGCCTTCTTTAGCCAGCTGGCGCCCTGCTCTTCTGCAGCTGCAGCCCTGGCTCAGATCCGCAGTGCCCAGAGCCCTGGAGAAGCCCTGCTCCTTTCCTACCCTGCTGCCATCAAGCCCCTCTTCTCCATCCCTTTACAGCCTCTGGGGTTTTATGGACCCTTTACAGACTCCAGTCCAAGGAGAGTCCTATTTTCTCATTCCAGGGGAAAAACAAATGCTCCAGTGCTTTATATGCTTTAAAAATAAAGAACACTTCCAGTGCATTTAAAGACAAGCATCAACTCATTCTAAATGTAATACACCTTATTATCTTAATATTCTCTTCCCTCCTCTTGAATTGCTAAATGGTTGTTAAGAGAACCTTTAAAAAAAAAACTAGTGCAAAATGTATGCAGTTACATTTGGAAGTTCAAAACTTATCTTCAGAGATTTGGAGGGGACTGGTGGAGGATGCACTCACTGCACTGGGCATGTGCCATAAGTAACTTTTCTACACAAGATGCTTATAGCACAAGGTTAGTCTATGCCAAATTGCCCAAGGGCAAACAGCTGGAAAGGGCTTTCGGTTCTATAGTAACAGGCACATTGTGTGTTTCTCATGTTTCTGTGTTAGATGAAACAGTCTTTCGAAGACAATGCATGTAACCTTTTCATTTAATGGTCCCTTTCCATTACCCTTCCAGAGTATATCCTATGTGTGAGACAATTCCTAGATAACGTATACATTATTAGACAGCAGAAATCAAATAATGCTCATCAATCATATCAGCTTTTGATTGCTTGTGACTTTCCAAACAAGATTCAAGATTTTCCCATTTAATTATGACACAGAAGTAATAAGCTCTAAGCAATGAGTTTAACCAAACTCAAAATGACTTTGAACTGCTTCCCAGAAACTACCCTTTGAAATAAAGGCACTGTAATAAAAATAAAATGAAAACAAGAACAGGCAATATCATTTGAGAACAAAAAAGGAAACCTGTGAAGTTCTGTGGGTCAGGGAGTACATCCCTCTTAAAAAAACCCACCAATTTTAACATTAAAATGGCAAAACAGTAATAGTCACAGACAAAGGTTGTCTGTTTGTATAACTAACTGCATATGCAAACCCGATATCCTTTTTTGACATGAGGTGAGTTAGCTTTGCTGCTAGAATAGTCCCCTTTACCTGTGGAGGATGTTCCAAGAACCCTAGGGGATGCCTGAAACCCCAGATAGTCCCAAAGCCTATATATCCTGTTTTTTCCTATAGACATACACATGATAAAGTTTAACTTGTAAATTAGGTTCAATAATTAATAACTAATGATGAAATAGAAGAATCCTAACAATATACTGTAGTAAGTTATGTTAATGTGGTCTCTCTCAAAATATTTTATTGTACTGTGCTCACCTTTCTTGTGATGTGAGCTGATAAGATGCCTACATGATGAGAGGAAGTGAGGTGAATGACGTAGGCATTGTGACATACCGTTAGGCTACTATTGACCTTCTGACCATGTCAGGAGGATCATCTGCTTCTGAGGGCACAGTGAGGCTGACCGTGGGTTACTGAAGCAAGGAGAGTGAGACCGCAGACACGAGGGACTACTGTATAAGGATCCCTGATCAGATGATACATTAGAACAAGAACAGAACCCTGCCTTTGTTATCTCTTAATAACTTTACTACAGACCTGAAGGTGTTCTGCCTTTGACTTTAGAATGTTCTGACTTAAAGAGGTAGAATTTGATGAGTCACAAAAAATAAATTCAGCTATTTCTTAACAAGACAAGCTGGTATTTAGTTTCTGGTGAGGCCTCTATGAAGTTTTGCCCCTTTGTTTCCTTCAGAATACAAAAAAATTACTCAAAAGTGACACTCTGAGTATAAGCCAAAGTAAAATGATTGAATCTGGTTCCTCAGATTAAGGTTTAAAAACAGTAAAACCCACCACACCATACTGGGTAAAACCATTTTATTAACTGACCAAAGCACTTCATTTTTTCTGATTTGAGGTAAAACCATTAAACACGGGTTCACAAGAAAATACAATGACTATTCAACTACAATTACAGGAGTTTGAAACTTCACTAGTTGTTCGTGTAATACTTTTACAAATTCATACAGCTGTACAGTCTACTTAAGCTAAGTTTATTGTTAACCAAAAGACCAATATCAAAGACCTAGACACTTGACTACTACTCTTGCAGTAGCTATGATTTTGTAACATGAATAACTGTTACCTTAATGAATATACTTTAAAAACCACTTGGCTAGTGATGGGTACTTTCCTCATTCTTCAGCAGTGTGTGTGAAGGCTCTTAGGAGAGCTAATACCTATTCCTGTTCTGCATGCCTCAATCTCACATCAAAGTGTAAACAAACATTGTCCAGCCATGAATGCAGGGGTTGATCAGATAGTCCTACAATATTCTTAATATATTTAAGGTTTTAGGCAAGCCAGCTGATTCTTCCAAAAAGCTTTCTTTTCAATGTTCAGAGCCTGTTTTAATCCTCACTGAAGATAACTGTGTTAGTGAGGGCATCTGAGTTGTCCATAGAACAATGCTGCAGTCTAGAAACAGTAACTGTATTTTTTCCAACTGAGTCCAGCTTTGAGATTTCATTTTGTTATGGGACAGCTCTCTTTAATTGATAGCAAAGCCTTTGAAACACTGCAGATTTGCCTCAGAGGTAGATATAACAGAAATCATGCAGTTAAGTCAATTGAGAAGTAAGGGATTTGCTGTCCTTAGAGAACATTCTGACTACAAGTTGATCCCTTTGTTCTGGTGCTTAAAGGACTTTGCACATTTAACATTTTTACCTGTCTGGGGAAATACCCAAGTCTTACCTGTCTCTCAGGAAAAACAAATTTAAATTCATCCCGTATCAGCTACAGATAGGAGAAAAACAGTAAGAACATTTGTATTACAGCACTGTGGTTCACTTTCTGGATTTGTGACACACAAACATACCATGCATTCTAAGACAAGTTAATTTTATCAGTCACTAGTGATGTTAATTTAAAAAAATTACAGCAAGTTCAAAACCTTTCTAAATATTGAAATCACCATGTTTTAAAGACAGACTGGAATGTTACAAATGATTCTGCAAAATACAAAAATAGATATGTTTCCACTGAATGCTTCAGTCATTTTTCCTAACATTCTCGTCTTTTGGCTCTTCCGCATCCGAGTACACGGTGGGCTCCTCCCCATCCTTCAGCAGTTTGCCCACGTGATGATACTTGACTGCAGGTAGAGAAGAAAACAAATGGTCATTCTCATTCTTCATAGAAAATCACTTTTCATTTTAAAGCACTTATTGGAAGCTACAATCTATACAGCAGTGTGTTGGGCTTCTTGAAGGATAAAAAAAGGACTTATACCACAGTCCTTACCAACAGGGAATTAAGAATTTTGTTCAGAAGACATAAATATAGAACAGGTAGTGAATTCTGACAAGTGCTCAAGGAAATGTCCACATGAGCTGTGTTTGCATGTAGTTTAGGTTCATTATGAATTACTTCTTCAAAGGGCTACAGAACACTTCACAGAGGATATGCTTTGGAAAATGTGTAGGAGGATTCAGGGAGGGACGGATTTCCAGAAAATGAAACCACTACATGCACAGGCATGCAGGCGAGATTGACCATATCTGGGAAGCAATAAAGAGACCAAGTTGGCAGGAGGACAGTAGGAGTAGGAGTGGCTAAGCAGTGTGGGGAAATTTATAAAGGATGTGGAAAGCCAGCCTGAGGTGTCTGGACTTATAGGTGGCAAAGGTCACTGAACATTTACAACAAAGGAATGACACAGTAAAACAGTGCTTCATTAACAACGGTACCACAGTGTTTAGGGCAGATTACAGTGAGGAGACCAGGAGGCTAGCGAGTAGATCCACTTGTGAAGGAAAGACCCAGGAGCAGGGGACTGTCCCTGGGAATGGAAAGGGAAGGACTGAGCTATTTCAAAGGAAAACTGGGAACATGAGTCAGTGAAGTGAAAGCTGGAGATTCCATGGACTGAAACGGGGGCTCTGGAGAGGGAGCGACTCTGGAGGGGCACATGACAGAGACTTACAACAAGGACAGAGAAGTGAAGGTAGTATAGGCAAGAAACGGGTCCTTGGGAACCTGAGAAAGAAGTTCAATCCAACTGTGGGGACAGAAACTATACTGGAGGGTGTGAGGAGATACAGAGAAGAAATGAATCAGTGGTTACAAAAACCACTTCTTAGTTGTTTGATAGGGGGTGGAAGGAATGGTTAAGCCTAGTGGATGGAGTCAATAATAGGAGACAGAATGTTTCTCCACCCTAGAAAGCTGTGTGTAAAGAAGTGATAAAGGAGGCAGGAGAGCACTGGAGATAATTGGAGAAAACAGATTTAGGAGTGCAAACCAGAATGTAAAAGACTTGAGCAAGGATGGAACCAGCAAACCACCATCCTGGCTGCATAACTGACGCCAAGCTAATGCAGGGTTAATCATCTCAATGTCAGAGGCCAAGAGGACCAGTCTTCTCTGAGTATGGGTAGAAATTAGAGGAGTGACCAACCTGTCTAACCAGGTAATCAGAGATGCTTTTGTGTGAAATAATGGCTGGGAACAGTTAGAACTTCCCTATTTGAACATATTACAAAGGTCCCTAGAGTGCTTGGCATTGCAAGACAAATAAAAGCCAGGTGGCGCCTGAGAAAACTGCCTTAAGGGGAATCCACGCCAGCTTTGACTACAGCCAAAGTGTCTTAAACAGTATTCAGAGCTAGCCTTAGTTTAAGGGGAAAAAAATCCCACATTTTTTACCCTATTGATGAAGGCAAGCCCTAGAAGAGAGAGCTTTGTGAGTTATCAGTTATAATGCATTGGTTTCATATAGTAGAATCTACTGTTACAAGGAATCCTTAGGCTGCAAAAAATGAGGGACTACGTTAGATAGATGAATCATGTTGTCAAAGTAAAAAGACTCGCCTCTAGACTTGAAAGGTATACTTAGTGTGTTTGGGATCCAAACTCTAAAGGTGGAGCCTTATCTGGCTAATTATTAACCCAGAACTGCCTGAAGTCAGCATTATTTTCAATGAAAATGGTTGGATTTAGCCAAAAGAGCCAAAAATATTTAACTGATTACAGAGAAGAGCAAATAGAAAACTACATTTTAAATGAAAAATCTTCAAAGTGATGGTCATGGTCTTTATATACTGATTTGAAGCTGGGAAAGATTACTATTCAAATTCTTAGCAGGGAAAATGTTCCTAAAGTGGTAATAACAACACTTAGTTTTGACAAAAACCAATTTCTTAATTCTCAAAATTTGAACTTAACCCTCATCCTTATTCCCCAAAAGACCTCAGCCCATAGCATACGCCAGGAAACAAGTATCTCCTTTTTCCTTTCTTTCTAAATATGCAGACACCATTGTTGCTGGGCAGATTATAAGCATCATCTGTAGATGAGGCCTATAGTTAGGCTTAATTAGATTCAAAGAGAAGTTGTTTTGTAGAATACAAGTCTTCCATTCTTCAACAGAAATGTGGGTTGCTTTTAAACAGCAAGCTCTGCAAGTGAGGGCTTAGGAAAATCCCTTTCTGCAGCCAAGAGGGCCACTATCCTTTCAACACACTAAGCATCAAATCCTAGTGTAGAAGCTATGCAAACCTCTTAAAAATTAAAAAGACAGAAACCTAAGTTTCCACAGCAAATTAGCTAAAATTTGGTATGCAGTCATGGCAAATGACTTAGCACTGCTACCATTACTCTTCAAGCCACAAATTAGATCCAGTCAAGATTCAGGAGCCTATCACTATGCTCCCCAATTTCCGGCTGCTTAGTATTAACTATTGTATTTCTGTGAATCCCATTACTGGTAGGCATTTGATCCAGGCACAATTTAAAAAAATGCTTACAAGTAAACTGAGAGTCCCAGTCACTCAGGGTCTCCTGCTGGGCAGGAGTGAGGTCAGAAAGGTCATCATACTCGTCCTTCAGGGCTTCCTTATCCAGGCAAAAAGTGGCAAGGCCCCTGGATGCATCTCTTCCGGCAAAGACCCCATATGGCCCCTCTTAAAAACAAAATAAAAACAGAGAGGATTCTTTATTAAACAGTCAATTTCTCTGTGGTTCATACACATAAAATGGCTTCCTTACCCATTAACAAAGAAAGCCCCCTTTATGAATACCAAATTCCATTCGGAAACCATAGGTGATGTTATTACTCTGATCATTATGTAGTGCAATGGAAAGACATAGTCATTAAACCTTTTAGTTAAAACTAAATCAAGATGCTATACATTATCACCTATTTCCTGTGACTTTCAAATAGCTAACCAGAGCCGTAATGATTGTCTCCAGTGTGTGTGTGTGCACATGTGCTCCCATGCCAAATACCGAATCCATGGGTCCGAACTCATCTTTAGGACACTGAACCTGTGTTGTGCATGGCTCTGTTGTAGGCACTTGGGCTGTGTCAGTGAAAGTTATGTTTTTTTAAGATAATAAACATGAAAGTGTAACTGAAAAAATTTCCTTATAAATATATTCTGATGGGTTTTAATGAGTCAAAAGTATTTTATAGAGATCTTTGGTTGTGGTGTGTATTAAACATTAACATTTGGCAGGTACAGGAGAAATCATTTTATGAGTATCAGTGGTTCAGAAATCCATGTTACATAATCTTCACTGTCAATAGAGAGCACAGATCAACTCTGGTTTGGTGGTCTTGAAGAGACTCTACAAATAAAACTTTGATGGAAAAAAGGCTGAGTCAAAACCCTACAATAATTCCATAAAACATTAGAATGCTATTGTATATATTATACTGAACTTTTGTCTAAGAGAGCAGTGAATCATTTGGTAGGGACTTAAAGTGTATGTTTAGACTTATTTAAATATTGCACAAGTAAATGACAAGAATCCAGTGTACTTTAAACAATGTGTTGTTTCTCCAAAGGTAGACTGAGTAGCAACCCTCACATCAAGGTGCTTGTAGGTAACCACTATGCCAAGTAACAGAATGGATCAAGTTTCAGTATGGCCCAATCACCTGAAACCTCAATCCACCAGGAATTTTTTTTTTTAACAGATTAGATAGAATTTACCATCAAGTTTTAAATGCAAGTAAGATTTCAAAGAAAAGTGGTTGTTTTCAGTTATGATTACATGCTACCATTTCCACTAAAGGTTAAGAAAAAAGCCCTTCATTTTCACTGATGTGCACCTCTAGTGGGACTGGTAGAATCTACTTGAAAACAGGCCAACTGTCCTGGTTTGGACCTCACCCTTTCAGAAATTATGGTCACAGAATAGTGTTTAAATACTGTCTGAGGAGAGCTTTAAAATTCTTTGGAGAATATTATTTACCAGAATGTATATTCACTAGATTATAAACTCCATGAGCATAGATTTGTATGTTTTGTTCATTGCTATATTCCACAGAATAGGCATTTGAATAAATAATTTTTAGGAATTGTTTATAACAGGAAGTATTTCCAAATGATGCTGTCACCTATTCACGGGCTCACTTGGTGATACTTCAGGGCAGACTTAGAGATTTCACATGGGCCATCTTTACCATTTTCCAGAGAAACCACCAAGGCCCAGAGGGAACAATGCTTTGTACGAGGTCACACAAATGGTCAGTGATTCAACCAGGACAAGCACCAGGTTGCCTGACTCCGAGTTCTGTGTTCTGTGCACAGGCCTATATTCCTCTCAGTGACTTTGCAAACTGCAATCACATGATAGCCCATGTGTGCGTTTCAGTTACTTAATGGTGCGGCTCAGTAATAACAACTATTTATAGGATTATGTTTATTGGTAGTACCTCTAGGTTTGCCACAACCAGTGACAACACAGGAGTGGTTTTCAAATTATTTTGACCATTACATGCCTACAAGTAGGGCTTCAAAATTGTCCAGAAGGAAAAACTGCTAGGTGGGAGGGTTCCTTAAGAACCTAAGAATTTTGATTAGTTGGACTGTGCCAGTATAACAAAAGCAGGAGTGGGGATGGCCAGGCCTTTGCCCTCTGTACTTTTCTCTCCCTCCACACCAGTGGGAAAGAAAGCACAGTCAACATGGACACCCTCCCTGAGCTCCTTGTTTTAAGGGGAGTCCATATTGGAGGAGCTAAAATCTTTTCCTCCTCCTCTCCAAATATTCTAGAGAGCAGTGCTTTCCAAACCTGATTGCTCCTCAAATTTGCTTGGGGAAGCCTGTTAAAACGCAGATTCCTGGAGCTACCCGACAGAGACCTTTCCTCCGTTAGGGTGTTCAGGCCGGAATCTGTGTTTTTCCTGAAGCATATCAGGTGATTCTGATCCGCAAACAGGTTAGGGAAAAGCCTCTTCCCTGGGGCTGCTTCAAGCCTGCCCCCTCCAACAGCACAGCAGTCATCCACCCTCCTTTCCCCTCTGGTTGATTTTTCCTGAAATCCCCACACCCAGCGCCTTCATAGCCCTACCCCTTTTGTTTCTCAGTACCCTCCCACTTCTCCCTCCCTCCATTTTTAATTTTTTCTGGCTTCTAGTCCTTTCTCTGCTGCTATAGAGTAAAATCCTGTATTAGCTTCTCATCTTGCCACAGTCCCATTGTCCGTTATATTCAGCCATTATTTCCCCGTAACCAGCTTCTTTCCCCCTATGGGAACTCCCTCGTTCGCCTTCCAGCTTTCCCTGTGTGCCACACACAGCACACGCACACACATACCTGACACATGCCACATTCCAAGTGCACGCGCATACACGCACACACACGCCTGACAAGCCACATACACTGAATACGCACACACATCATTCACCACCACGCACAATGCTTCTATCTGCTGTTAATCCCATCCCCGCTTTCCGTCTCCCGCACCCCCACATTCCACCGTGGCTACTCCTGGCGTCATCGATCTTCGTGTCGTCTCTTTCAAGGCTGGGCCTCCCTCCTCCCGCCCTTCCCCCATGCCTTCCGACACCCTCATTTCCCTTCTCCAGCCCGACACCAACCCTTCCTTCCAGGAACCCCCAAACTCAATACCTTCGAAGCTTCCCTAGCACTGCGCTCTGCTGTGCCCCACCCCCACTCCCGCTTCCTGCCTGGCAATCGCACCTACCCACCCCTGACTTGAGCGCTTCAGCCCTCTCCTCCACTCCCATCCTGGCGCGGGCCGGCAACCCGCGTCCCCCACTGGCCCGCAGCCCTCTAGAGCGCCTCTTGGGCCCTGCCTGCCGGGGCGCCGCCCTGCCACGACCGCCCGGCTCTCCGCTTGCTCACCCTCCCAGGCTCACTGCCATGCTCCCCTCCGGGGCGCCCCACTCCCCCTTGCCTCTCCGGGGCCCCTTCTTTTGTCTGTTCCCCACTGGCGGGCCGCCGTACCCGGCCCGTAGAACTTGCGGCCTTTGGTCACGTCGAACACCTTGCCATTGATGGCCATGAGTATGCGCGGGTCCTGGACGCCGTCGAAGCGCCGCAGCTCGGCAGGGGTGAAGTCGCGCCGCTTAAGGCGGGGCAGAGGGGGCGGCTCGTCGTCGTCGCTGTCGCTGCTGGCCGCCGGCTGGTCCCCGCGCACGATCTTGTAGAGCAGGAAGATGCAAAGGCCAAGCAGCAGCAGGTTGAGCGGCGACGTGAAAATCTCGTTTAGCAGCCCGCCGCCCTCCAGCTCGCTCGGGTCGGCGCCCGTCGCCACTACATCCTCGGCAGCCATGATCGCTGGAGTAAAGGTTAGGCCGGGCTAGAGAGGGCTCCGGAACTGGATACTTTCTCCTCCCTCAGCGAGCAGTAGCGTGAGGCTCGGTGGACTAGGACTAGCCAATGGAGAAGGCGGGGCCGGGCGGGCCGGAGGCGGGCCCAAGTAGGCGGAGCCTCTCAGCCCCGCCTCCCTGCGCTGTAGACACGCTGGGCACAGCCCAGCTTAGGTTCCCCCATCTTGCCTCTGAAGCGTGGCTCCCCTTCCTCAGCCAGAGCCTGCTTACCCAGCGGCAGAGAGAGCGGAACCCAACGTTCAGCTCGACCTGCAAGGCCGGGGCCCCAGACTCACGCCATGCACACGCCATCCTCTAGCTAACCGCGAGGCAGTGCGCTGCCCTCCTCCGCACCCCCAGTTGCTTTTAGCACACCCACCCGCTACGGGAGCCTGGGCTTCGCCTGGCTCGGTGGTCCCCTCCGCCACCTGATGCACGCCAAACACCGACCCCATTCCTCTTACTTCCGACTTCTCCCCCACCTTCTGTTCCCAAGCGTCAGCTTCCCGGGCTATCCCCTGAGACCTGTCTCTCGGGAGACAGGAAACTTAATCCTCAAGGTCCTTTTTCCACTTGAGAGGCCCGAAGAACGCATTTGCACCTTGGGGACCCTCATTTTCTCTCCTTGACGACCCTTCTTCAGTCCTCCCCCCAGATGCCGTTGGGCGGACACCCCCGGGTGTCACGGCACCGGCTCCCATCTGACAGCTCTACTAGTATCTGGGGAAACGGATCGGATGTCCCAATTACTGTGGGTTTATTCTCGAAAAACTAAACCCTTTTGCAATCACTGATTTGCTCAGTACCAATGCAGCAGCAAGCAACGTTCTGCTGCTCCTTTTTTTATTCCTTTTCAGAATAATGGCCAAAGTTTCTTTGTTTGGCAGTGTTTTTCTACTTGAAATCTCTCAGCTACCCTTGGCAGTCGCAATAACCCTGTGCTGAAGCTCAAACGAAGGCGCGAGTTTGGAAGGATCTTAGGATGGTGCCTTACTTTCCTAGGTATTTTATCCGGCCTTTGATGTGCTAACCCGCTGCACAGGAGCAGGCCTTGTGAAGGAAGGGCTGTCTATACCCTTTTGAATCCTAATCCAACCGCCCTCTTTATTGTGGCAGGGGGAGAGGAGCGGAAGAAAGGATAGAAGGAGAAAAATAATTAAAACCAAGCCATGCACACATCTGCAGCCCAGAGCAGTACTTTTCCATCTAGAGTTCTCTTTGCTTGCACATAATTTAAGCCCCCCCATCCAAATATGCAGGAGACTTGAGAGAATTGGCTTCTTACCTCAGAATTCTAAAAATTTCTGGTACAAACTCCTTCCATCCTGTCCCCCTGCCCCCACCCCATCTTCTTAAATCATTTCGAAGTGCATATGAGCTGAACAGTCTTTAAATCCTGCCCACACATTTTTTGTCACAGATCTAAATTTAGGGTTAGCTGAAATGGCCCTTCCAGATCCTTTGTCAAACCTCTTCAATTTAATCAAGGGAAAATGAGCTCCAACTGAGAGCACTTGTCTGTAGTTAGAATCTAATTATCTTAAAAACACTGTAGGGTCAAGATACTTTTAAAAACAAACTTGTGAAAAGTATTTTTACTTGCAACTGATATGACAGAGGGCTGATATCTTTTTTTTCTGATGTTAAGCAGTAATTTTTTTTTATTTTGGTATCATTAATGTACAATTGCATGAGCAACATTATGGTTAGTAGACTCTCCCCATCATCAAGTCCCCATCACATACCCCATTATAGTCACTGTCCATCAGCATAGTAACTTGCTATAGAATCACTACTTGTCTTCTCTGTGTTGTACAGCCCTCCCGGTGCCTCCCCTACATTATGTCTGCTAATAGTAATGCCCCCTTTTTTTCCTCCTTATCCCTCCCTTCCCACCCATCCTCCCCAGTCCCTTTCCCTTTGGTAACTGCTAGTCCCTTCTTGAGGTCTGTGAGTCGGCTGCTGCTTTGTGACTTCAGGTTTTGTTTTGTTGTTATATTTCACAAATGAGTGAAATTATTTGGTACTTGTCTTTCTCCACCTGGCTTATTTCACTGAGCATAATAGCCTCTAGTTCCATCCATGTTGTTGCAAATGGTAGGATTTGTTTTCTTCTTATGGCTGAATAATATTCCATTGTGTATATGTACCACATCTTCTTTATCCATTCATCTACTGATGGACACTTAGGTTGTTTCCATTTCTTGGCTATTGTAAATAGTGCTACGATAAACATAGGGGTGCATCTGTCTTTTCCAAATTGGGCTGCTGCATTCTTAGGGTAAATTCCTAAAAGTGGAATTCCTGGGTCAAATGGTATTTCTATTTTTAGTTTTTTGAGGAACCTCCATACTGCTTTTCACAATGGCTGAACTAATTTACATTCCCACCAGCAGTGTAGGAGGGTTCCCCTTTCTCCACATCCTCGCCAGCATTTGTTGTTGTTTGTCTTTTGGATGGTGGCCATCCTTACTGGTGTGAGGTGATATCTCATTGTGGTTTTAATTTGCATTTCTCTGATGA